TTTAACTTTTGGAAAGGCTTTTTCGTATTGCTTAGTAAACACGCGAATAAAAAAATCATAGCCATTATTTACATCATTGCAATCATTCAATAGTTCCCAGTTTATTTCTTGTAGGAGGTCGCGAAAAGTGACGATTGATTCATTATTTATGTTTCTTACATAAATAGTTTTTGTTTCTATTTTTTTCTTAGGGGTTGCCAAATCTGTGATCAGAAAAACTGGAAAATGATCAGTGATATCTGTTTTAATAATACCACTTTGCATTTTAGCCCTTGTGTAATTATTAGTAATGATGTTATCGATAATGGATGCAGTTGTTTTAGTCACGCGTGTTGGCTTGTTGATTATGGGAAAAACGCTGTATTGCAAAAGTGTATTTATAAAACGCGCAACGTGGTTATCTGTTTTATTATTCAGAAAATTCAAATTAAAATCACCTAGTAAATACACGTGTTTTTTTATGAGCTTTGGTAGCAAGTAATTTATGTGGTTTTTAAACTGATTGTAATTACCATTAGGCGGTCTATATAAAGCTGTTATAAATGTATTTTTAATTGCTTTATTAATTATTTCAATAGTAAATGACTCACAATCAGCGTCATTTACTTTGAGGTTATCTACATGCTTAAAGATCAATGAGTTTTGGACAAAAATAGATACGCCCCCACCAATGCCGTTTTCTCTCGGTTGATGTATGGATTTATATCCTGATAATTGAAAGTTAGAATTAATCGTGTCTCGATGACACCAAGTTTCTGTCAGACAGATAATACTGAACTTGTTTTTTATATTATTTAACATTAATTTTAAATTTTCAAAGTTTTTATTTATGCTTCTGATGTTTAAATGTAATAGTGAAAAATTAGATGATGCAGAATTAAAAACATCTTTAACATCGTCAACATTGTAATAAGCCGTTTCTACTAAAATTTCGTCAAAAAAGTTATTGTTTTTATCATCGTCATTAATTCGGTTAAGTGTATTTTTCCTTCCTGGTATGTCAAAAACAATATTATTGATAGCTTCCGCCATTTTAGCAATATTAACTAAGATTAATATTTAAAATACAAAATATAAAAAATATATAAGCTTTAGGCTTTATTAAGTGATTTTTTAAAATCTTTAACTACTAATTTATCATAAATAACGACGGAATACTTACCATTTGTCCTGTGAGTTCGCATTTCTTCAAAAAGAGTTTTTCGTATGTTTAAGGTATCCAAAGAATAATCTTCGTTTATAAATATTCCTGTTCCTTTTAATTTTTTCGAGTTTTTTAATATGTTAACTTTATCTTTGTAGTTCAGAAGTTTTATCACGATTGATCTAGGTTTACTTTGCCCAGTTTTTCCGGTTCTATGTGCCCTTTCAATAAACACGCCACTTACATTTAGTTTGTTTTCAAAAATACTTAAAACCTTTTCTTCAGATTCATTCCAACTTTCAGATTCGCTCTCCGCTATTCCTTCAAGGCGCAAGTTATTTCTTCTCAGTCGATCTTCAAGTTGTCGCAGCTTATTTTTTTCTTCTACACTAAATGCTACTTTTGTAACAATTTTTTTTTCAATTTTATTGACTTTCTCCTCTTGGATATCTTGTGTAAAAGTGATACTGTGTTCAATATCTTTTTGACTGTGTTCAATTATTGAGACTCTGTCATTTGTTTTTACCATTTCAGATTTTCTTAAATTATTTTCAATTTGTAAAGTTTTGCACGTTTCTTTTATTTCTGCTATTTCTTTCAGCAGTCCATCAATTCTTTCATTTGTAATTTTTAAATTACCACTAATAAGTTTGAGAATGTCTTTTTGCTGTTTCTTAAACATCTCAGAGAATATTTCACGAACTAATTTCACAGATATTTCTGAAGCTTCTGTATTTAATTGAAATTCTTTTTTATCACTACTTTTATTTTTATCCATTTTATTAACAAGTTAAATACGAATTTTTAAAGTTAAATACCAATTATAAACAAAAATTTTAAAAATTAAGTTCAATTTTATTAAAAATTTACAGCTCAAGAAAAGCACGTCCGATCACTTCCGTAGTTAATTCCGTAGTTAATTCCGTTTAGATAATTTTATTTTTCTTCATCATTTCTCCGATAGTTACGGCATTCAAAAACAGGACAGTAATCTTCATTAATCTTTTTTTTACTAATAGCTAACATTTTAATTTGGTATTTACGTTTTTATAACAATTTACAATTTTTTTTTTCCTGATTCTTGTTAAAGGATTATTATATCTCTCATAAAAAAATACACGTAGGTGTAAAAATAAGTATTTTTGGGTTGTAAGGGTCAGTTACAGTTAAGATTTTATATTTTTTGCAGCAAAACCTTTTTTAACTGTTCAACAATCAAACAAATACATATTTACTTTGGTATTAGAAAACCTAGTATTACATTGAAGAAAGAATTAACATTATTAATAAATTTCAACTTATCTAACTCTCACTTTAAATAAGAGTATTTTTTCACAATTAGTGCAACTGTGTCTGTACGCATGTCTCTGTTAGCAACTAATATTTCTATAAGAACGTAAAGGTTTGTATTCAAATAAATTTTTGTTGTTTTTTAAGTCATATTCAAGTATTTTTATTCCAAAACTTCATTTTTTTGTCTACAAGTATTTTAATTTAGTCAAGTACGTGAATATCTCTGTCTTACATCCTAACATAAGAATCTCATTTTCTTAGTGTGCAACTCAATTAACATGCTCTGGTAATACAAATAAACAATGGGTCTAAGTAGGTCCCAATATTTTATTATCCCAAAGTTTTATTACGTTGGGTCCAAGTTGCGTCATAGCTGGATCTTTAAATTTTATTTACCTTTTTTCATTGCAGCGGCTGAGGTGACAGCAAAATAATTAAAATTTTTAAAACATATTTAACTGATAAGGTTTCACTCTAAGTTGAATTAACAAGGTACAGAAATATAATCTAGATGGTTATAGGTCAGTTGGAAATACCACACTTTGCTTATATTAGGCAACTTAATAATAAGTTTGATTTGTGAAAAAAAACTCTTATTAAGTAAAAATGGATAATGCTAATTTATCTTAATTTCATCGGTATGAATAAAAATAAAATTCAAAAAACTTGTTTTAATTATTTAACAGTACAATTGACAATTTTGGGGAAATAAAATAACTTCATTACACAATAAAAAAACTTACAACTCGTAACAATTTAAATAAAAAAATATTAAAACGGTTTTGCCGTTTGCATTTTTTGGGGGAAAATTTTTAAAATAACTTTAATAGTACTGAGTGAGGAAACAAATTAGCTTGGATAATGGAACTAACTAGCTAGAATAGCATAGATTTGCATGATGATAGAATAAACTAATATGGTTAAGCCTATCGTTGTGTTTAGCGTCAACAAGGAACCGGAAGAAAATCCCAGATACCAGAAAGTAATTGAGATTGAAATTCGTAATTTCTTAAAAAATAACTTCGAAGCTCTTTTAATCATAACGAACGCTCCGGGCTGCAATGCATTCAACCGAGTTGAGCGACGAATGTCACCTAAAAATAGGGGTGATTCTTCCACACGAGCATTACAGAACTCATCTCGGTTCTCAAAGTAATTACAAATATTTATTGAAAAAAGTTACTTTGTAGTATATAAAATAATTTCAACATGTAATAACGAATTTATTATTTTAGATCAGGCAGGGCAAAAGATTTAGAATGATGAAGATTTAGAAAAAAAGAACTTTGGTTTTGCCGGACAGGCTTTATCAGATATTTGGTCTGACCTAAAAATTGACGGTTATGCAGCTGTTTTAGACTATATTGATTCAGAGCAATCAGAACTGGAGTCACGGAATCTTTTATAACAAGTTCAACGTTGGATTGCCCATCATTTTTTGTACGAGTCAATATTTTACTCAAATTGTGAAATGCGAAAATTGTTCTTGTTGTCGGCTATAAGAAGCTGTTATTTTACTTTTATTAGAGCACGATTTCTTCCGCCACCTGTCCCGGCTCAAAATATTATGAATAACTTCGTGAAAGCTATAGATATAAGTTGAGGGTTATTTATACTTGAAAGATTTTCCTGAGTGAGACAAAAAATCAATGGTGCATACTTGTTGGTACCTCGAATCAGTCAATTAATGAAGATCTATAGAAAAAGCTTAGTGATTTGGAAAAATCAACATGGTAATTTTTTATAAAAATAACTTTTAATTTTATTGGAAATCACCACTATAAAAGTATTGTCGCGGAGCCGCTGTCTGCTTTTAAACTTTGAGTTGTAATATATCGTTGAAAATTTTTTACGTTCCCATATAAAATATAAGCAATAATCATAAAACAACGTTTATGTTGGTGTTCAATATGTAACAATCTAAATGTTGGCGTTCCACATGTTATAATCTAAATTTGATCTAACATTTGGATTAAACGATTATAACGAGAGATTGTTTCCACGTGTGAGCAGCGTGAAAACATTCATTATTTGACTTCAATAAATTGTATCCAAAATTAGAGTATATTAAAGTAAATTAAAAGAAACTGTTGATAACCTTAATGCGAAATGTACTGAAAGGAAACTCGAAGATATTATAATGTAATACATTAGTTAAATAAATCACACAAGTTAAAAATGTTTCGTCAAACAGATTGTTTTAAAATCAACTTGAAGTTAAAAAGTTAATATTTTTGGGTCACTTTTAAATAATTTTATTGCAAAACAAATTTTAAGTAGCGCTATATATATATATATATATATATATATATATATATATATATATATATATATATATATATATATACACACAAATTTATATACACACACATATATATATACACACACACTCACACACACATATATACATATATATATATATATATATATATATATATATATATATATATATATTATATATATATATATATATATATATATATATATATATATATATATATATATTATATATATATATATATATATATATATATATATATATATACACACTTTTACATATATATACAAAAACACAGCGTAGTCTGAACAAACTACGCTGCTAATATATTCTTCTTTTCAATCAACAAGTAGGTAGTACACAAGAAGATTTATTATTAGAAAGATGTTTTGTTGCAATCGATTGCCTTGGAAAGAGTCTTTCCTAATGGAGCGTTACTAGCAAAATCTAGCTCAAACAATTCACAAACGGCACTTTTTAGTAGACGATAACGTTCATTAAAATCATCTAAAATAAAATCATTACATTTATCAACTAGTATTGTTGTGCAAAGAGATACAGATACATATTTTGTGCAAAAGATACAGCTGGGGAACTATATTTTATTTTGCATTTAATTCTTTATGATTTTAATTTTTTTCAAAAAATATTTATTTAAATACATAAATATAAGTGTTAAAAAACGGCGAATGGAAGATGTTTTAAAATAAATCAGCTTATAATATTGTTAGTTTTATCATAAATAGCAAAACAATCTTTAGAACAAAAGTATACTTTATATATTTATGTGACATTGTTTACTGTAATAAATACTTTAAAACAAACTTAATTACAAAGTATTTACATCCGATTTTAACAAAAATATTCAGCTGTTGTTTTTGCCGATTAAACATTTTCAGCATTAAATTATGCTTTCACATAATTGCAATATGCAATTATCGACTAGTATTTAAAACTTTAACAATTAAAGTTATTTTTTAAATTTTACTCTATTTCGCTCTAGAGTTCTTTTATTTTTTCATCCAAATTTTTTTTTGCGTTTTAAAATTAATATAAATGATAAATTTTTACTAAATTTAGATTTGTACGAAATATAATCCAGGTCTACTCTACCGCATTTGTTAACGGGATATTAAAAAAAAAAAAATTAAAACATAAAACTTAATAGCTACACGTTTAATTATATTTAATTGTAATTTTTAGAAAAGATATGAACACCTGTAACAATAACTGTATCAAAAAACCCTGGGTGATTTTGGTAAAATTCTATATAATCATTCGATTGTTGCAAGAACAATTCGCTATATTCTAAATTTGTGTCATGCAAAATTGAGTTGCGTTTCTAAACAATAAAAAAATAAATATTTTATAAAATTTATACTGCAAATCATGCTATAAGCATGATTTGCAATATAAATTATAATAACTAGGATTGTTATTAGGGCCGGCGCGAGTAGGGTCACGTGGGGGTGGGTGGGGGGTGGGGTGCCATTACAACTTTTGCCGTCTTAAAAAAAAAAAAAAAAAAACATTTGCCGACTAAGGGTCAAATTTGCCGACTAAAAGTCATTGATGAAGGGGTGTAACACACCCCTATCGCGCCGGCCTTGATTGTTATCACCTGTTATAATTTTTATAATTCTTTAAATCCTAGTTATTATAATTTATAACAATTTGCTATAAATGCATTTACAGCAAATTGTTTGTTAACTTTTTCTTGAACTTATTTAAGTTAATAACTGACACAGTTGAGTGGGATAGGGCGTTCCATAGGTTTAGCGATTTGGTTAGTAAAGAGGTATTCTCTTTTAATATAATATTTAACCACTTTAGGTTCAAGTTAGTATAATGCGGACCTTTAAATGTAAACTTGCAATATGACGAGAGCTTGCATCATAGAGGCTCCGCATCATGGCAAAGATGTGGAGCCTCTATGATAAAATCAAGGTATGACGTGTAAAGTAGACGAAGCGTTTTATAGTTAGGCTACAGAAGATTTTTTAAAATTTAACAAGAATCATGCTTGATATGTGGCTTATTTCTAACCGAACTTGTGTTCAATTCCTTTCTATTATTTTTCAGATTGTTTGTGCTTTAACTACTCTGACATCTCATTCTACAACAAAAGAATCTCCTTACTGTTGTACTTCATATTAAAGCTATTTTTTTATGATTTTCTAAATGATGATCCTTAAGTTACAGTCTTCTATTCCTATGCAAATAAACTTCTTATATCACCTCTTAATTTCGGAAAAACACACAATTTTATTCCTTCTCATGAACTCCAATTTAAGCTTGATTTATCTCCATGATTTTCTGTCCAGTGCAGCAGATATTTCCAATTGCAATTAATTTTTCCACTTTTTTCAAAAAATAACGTCTAATACTAAACTTCATTATAGTTAGTATATCAAATCTCTTATTTCATTTCAGATGTTAGGCTTCAGAGATTTTTAGAAATATTTAACTATTAATAAAAGTTCATTTAAAATTCAAACTCTCTTGGATTCATTATTCTTTCATCATTTTTTTTTCTTCTAAACCTTATTAACTCTCTAAGGGATAAGTCTAAATTGTTTGCAAATAACTTTTCCTTTTTTTTTATGGTATTTAAAGTGCTCCAAGAATTATTTACAGTCTTTTCACAGAGCACCAAGGGAGATCATTTAACTGGGACATTCACGCCTCCTTTCCTAAAAATATTGCTTATCTGGCAAGAGCCGGCATCGAACCACAGGATCCTTTAATTAATTGTATAATTCTGATGAGCAGACTCTTTCTAATACCCTTGCCAAACAAGTTAACCCATTATTAGAGCACTCTCGCTTCGGACTTATTTCTCAATAGACTGTTCTAGAGTTTGTGACCCAAAAAAATAAATTTGCTATAGTGTCCATTAAAAATGAGAAATTTGTTTTGCTTAAACACTATCAAATGCAGTCAAATAGTAAGTCTTGGTACTCATTCCCTTTGAGTAAGTCCTGGTATTCATTCCCTTTGCAAAAAAAAAAAATACAACTGTTTAAAACCTCTAAACCTATTTTTTTAAAAATCTAAATGTTACTAAAGTATTTATTTCCTGTGAGCTAAAAAAATAATGGCAATTAATAAAAAAAATAAAAAATTAATGGCAACAATACAAATATAAAACTTACAACCGGAGGAAAAAATCTTGCTCTTAAAGTATATCATGACGAACGACCTATAAAGTATATCAAGACCAACAACATATAAAGCAGATTGTTATGAACATGCAAACCTCATATGCAGATGCAATATTACAAAAATATTTTAACTAGGAAAACTTTTTTAATCTTAACGAGGATTAACTTAAGTCCATCAACTGAATACAATTTTAATTTTCATGTCCACTTCTGTTAAAAATCTAAAGAAATTGCTTAAAAAGGAAAATGTTATTGTGGCTATAATGATGATAGTTTTGATGGAGCTAACTGTGGCAACAGTGATGGAGCCAACTATGGCAATGAAAATACTGTGGCAAAGTACCCAATTGTGCCAAAGGTATAATATTTTTGGCAAAAATAACACGCCATTTTCCAATGAATATCTGAAATGTATCTTCCATCAATAAAATTCTGAGGGTTTCAACACATTTTAACCAGGCACTTTGGTCAACATAATGTTAAGAGATAAGAATATGTTGGGACTACGATTTACAGCAAGTTAGTATAAGATCAGTTTTGTTTGATTTAGCGAATATCGCTTTTTTTGATTTACTTGCTGGGTACTGCTTTTTTGTAGTGGTGTGTGGTGTAGTGATGTGTGGTGTAGTGGTATAGTGATTAATTAGTAATATTACTATTTTTACTGCTTTGGGATGAAACTTGATATATTCTACAAAGAAAAAAAAAGATATGGTTATGTATTCAACTATATGTTCACGATGTATTTGCAAAAAATTATTTGATTAAAAAGTTTAGCATAACCAGATTACATATCTAGAAGAAGAAGATCCTTTTTGTTAATACTTCAAAACATAAAAATCATATAGAAATGTCTAAATAAATTAAGAATTGTATCTAAGAGAAATGTCTAGATAAATTAAGAGTGAATATTATTGAAATATATTTGTATTGAAAGAATACAATACCTTTTAATGCAACATATTTTTTCAAATAATATATCTATAATAATAATAATATGTAAAGCATTTTGTCTGAATTTTCAAATATACACCATTTAAAATAGGTTTCCACCAAGTACAAAAAAAATTACAACACAATTTTTTCTGTAATTTTTTTGCGCACATTCATCAAAATAATATTTTTTAAAACATGATCATCACAGCACAGGAACAAAAATACCATAAAAACATCTTGTGGCAGAGAAAAATTACTTTTTTTTTTAAAAAAAAGAATTGTTTTACCTTAAATAAGATCATAAATATGTTTAAAAAAAAAATAGGGTTATTAATTCTTTTTCAACGTTTTCTATCTTATGTCAATCTAACTACAAAAAATGATTTAAAAACCTCTAAAAATAGTGTTTTTTACTCATAATAATTTAACAAGTACTTGTCTGATTCAATTTCCCCCACCTGCTAAAACATCATGTCATTATTTTTAAAAACTGTCGATACCACACTAATCCTTACAACTTCCACCCAATAAATTCTCTTTCTTTTATTAGCAACCTCTTTGAGCCTCTAATTAATCAAATTCTGATGTATTACGTATATTCAAAAGTTTACTTTCACTTAGTAACTCTAATATCATTTAATAATAATAAAAAATCCTTTACTTGATCATCAGGTAATAACAGAATATATCTTGGATGAAATTGAGAATATTTAAAGCCAAAAACGCCCTAAAATTAATTTGTATCTGCTAAAAAAAACAAAACAACAGAAAAAAACAAAAAAACAAACAAACAAAACAAGCTGAGTTGTTTTAATATTTAAATTGGTGCTTAACATTCATATTTTTTCATGAAACTTTTATGTTTTTTAGGTGTCACTCCATTGACTAGTTTGTAACTATATGAGTGACACCTAACTAATTTATATTAATTTACGATGAAATTTGTAAATTTTAATGATATGGTTTAATAAAAAAAAAAAAAAAAAAAAAATTAATTATTACTGTTTTATGATATACAAAATTACATGCGCAGACATAAAGGTGTTTCATTTCAAACAACTTTTTAAAAATGACTTTATTTCTTGCATAGGCAGGTAAAAAACATGAATCTTGCTTATTTTAAATGAGGTTCATTATTCAATAAAACAAGAACATTTATCCATCTATAAAATTTGTTAGAATTTAGACTAATCTTAAGATATTATCTTTGCATATTTTGATATCCGCAGATTTATACAAATTTTTTTATAAGTTCATGAAATTTTATAATGTATTTGCCCATTATTAAACCCATTATGCAAGTAACATAATCATTTTCAAAAGAAAAACTTCAGGAATAAAATATCCTAATGCACATGTGCATGTGTGTTTGTGTTTACTAAAAAAAAATCTTGAAATGAAAACTAAATTAAACCAAGCAACAATAGCATCAAACATGTAAAAACTTATTTACCTCTAAAGATAATGTGAGAATGCAAATAAGATGATCCTTTGCTATATTTTCAATTTCACTTAGTGATGTACCAAAAGAATAACCATCTATTAAACAGGTTTGTATAAAATCACCCTAAACAAACAATGAGTTCTTTTTTGATCTAACTACTTTATTATTTATTATTATATGCTACTTATGATGCAATAATATATATAATTATTTGTATACTTTTCAAACAATAATTCTATACCATTCTCATTTAGAGTAAATAAAATTTTTTTTTGACTAAATAACTTTTCATATAACAAACCTATTGAAAAAAAATTCCATATTGAATTCCAAATGAATTTAATTAATTTATTTTTAATTTTAAAAAAAGAACAATCTATTTATACAATTAGCTATACCATTAACATTAATAAGATAAGATAGTTAAAAAAATAATTCAAAAAAATTAAATACATAATTATGTGATCATAAAAGGAGTTGATTCAACCAATTTCATGCACATCTCATGTGGCATTTTAAACCTGTACTTGTTCAGAAGTTGCTTCAAATGCTCAGTTGATTGAATTTGATGGTCAATTTATGACCAAATATTTTCTATTGGGTTGATATCTGGTGATCTAGGGCACCAACGAGCCATCAAATTGATCTTCTTTTTGGTAAACCAGTTTGTAATACTAAGTGCTGTGTGTGCTGGAGTCAAGTCTTGCTGGAAGATGTATTGCTTGCTTCTGCCATACAATTACCTTGTCGATGGAATCAAATGTGTTTCAAGTGTGTTTTTGTAGGTATATTGGTTGATACGGCCATTATACAGCTCACAAAAACCAAGGTCTTTGTGGGAAAAACATCCCCATATGCCTACTGAGCCTCCACCACCTTGTCATCTTGCTTGTAAATAGCGCTTGCAATATTTTTCAGTTGCAAGCCTTTTAACTTATATTCTTCTATTGCTGTTCACAATCTGAAAATTTGACTCATCGCTCTAAATCGCTTTTGCCTAATTTTTAACTGCCCAATGCAAATGTTCTTTGCACCATTTTGGTCTTTTGCGTCGGTCCATGATTGACAGGATAGGTTTTTTTATTGCAATGCAAGACCCAATACCTTTTTTGCTAATGTTCTTCTAACAAGTCTTTTGCTTACATTTCGATTTGAAAAGGATTAGTTGAGTATTTAATTTTTTCTACTGATTCTAAATATGCTACTTTTTTTATGGTTACTAAGCTTCAGTGGTCTTCCATAACGAGCTAACAGGTAACGTCGTTGACATAATGTCAACGACGTTACCTGTTAGCTCTTAGGTTTTCACTGATTTTTACATGCAAAATTCAGAAACACCCATAAGTTTACTAATTTCAAGGTTGTTGATTTGTCCAGTCAAAAAATTTGCCATGCTCTCTGACACTGTTTTTCTACCCATTTGCAAGCGAATTGAATTTTAAAATATTGCAGTTGTTTTTTAGAAAATTTTTTGCAACTAAAATATTTTTTTGTAATTTTAAAAATATTTTTTTATTTAAGAATCACAAGTACTTTTTATATTTATAATTTATAGCGGTAATTAAGAATAATAATTAGTGTGAAAAATGTATAATTAATTAACTCGATTAAGCTTTTATGTTGTTAGTTTAATTATGCTTTATGTACAACGTTTAAATAGTTTTATGTGTGAATATTTTTTTATGTCTATTTTATTGATACAAACATAAATAACAAAACACAAAAATAATAAACTTAAAGCCTATATCTGTTAAACTTTAATGTTAGAAAAACTGGCACATAATTATAAAAATCTCAATTAAACTTTTGTGCATAGCTGTATATATATATATATATATTATATATATATATATATATATATATATATATATATATATATATATATATATATATATATATATATATATATTTATATATATATATATATATATATATATATATATATATACATATATATACATATATATATATATATCTATATATATATATACATATATCTATATATATATATATATATATATATATATATATATATATATATATATATATATATAATATATATATATATATATATATATATATATATATATATATATATATATACGTATAAATATGTAGGCGGCAGAAAGCAAGAACCTTTATTGAGCTGAGAATTTATGGCTCTTGCAAAAATTTAACTTCTTTATAAATATAAACCACTTTATTTTTTTCTCTATTTTCAGATATTGATTAGAAAAAATAAAAAATACTTGTGCAAACAACAAATAACAAAAAATAAAAAATAAAATTTATGTGTAAAATTGACTTTTTTTGCTGGAAATTGCGATTGCTTATTTAGCATAACAGTTTCTGATTTTTTTTGCAGTTCTTCAGATTATATTTTAACAAGCTAACATCTTGTTGACTTTATAGTATATGTTATTTTATACTGCAACAATTGTTTTGTTTTTAACTGAGCAAAATTTTAGTATTATAAATGTGAATATAAATATTGCACAATTATAATATAAAGTTATAGTAAAATTAGTAAAAAAAAAAGGAATTTTTATCTCAATCTCTCTCTCTCTCTCTCTCTCTCTCTATATATATATATATATATATATATATATATATATATATATATATTATATATATATATATATATATATATATATATATATATATATATATATATATATATATATATATATATATATATATATATATATATATATATATATGAGGTCGGCAATGATTTGCCAATCTCAATCTTTTAGAGGTCGACAAAAATTATATGATACAAAGGTCTGACCATTAAACATAGAAACGAGGTCGGCACTTTTTTGCCAACCTAAAACACTTTCAGGTCAGCAGTAAGTTTGGCATTGCCGACCCAATTTCCGAGGGTTGTATATATATATATATATATATATATATATATATATATATATATATATATATATATATATATATATATATATTATATATATTATATATATATATATATATATATATATATATATATATATATATATATATATATATATATGTATATATGTATTAGGGTGGTGCTTAAAACAACTTTTTTGAGAAAAACCTGCTGGTACCCCCTAAATGTGTTTTATCTAATACAAAAACACTAGGTTTAAAATTTTTTTGAACGAAAAATATTTTTAGGGGTAGCTCAAGGCCCTCAAAAATTTGATGGGTCCCTAATATTTTGAAAAAAAAACTTTTTCTAAAAAATGTCAACCTGGTACTCAAAAGAAGCGATATTATATAAAAACTTCAAAAATAATAATCATTTTACATAAAAAACATGCCTAAAAAAATTATTCTTAAAAAACCTGAAAATATTGACTTTTTTCATTTTTAGCTTAAAAACAATAGTTTTTATGCATTTATACCTGAAAAAATTATTTTTATAAAAAATTATTTTCATTTTTAAATTTTTTATATAATTTTGCTTATTTTGAGTACCAGGTTGACATACTTTAGAAAAAGTTTTTTTTTCAAAATATTAGGGACCCGTCAAATTTTTGAGGGCCTTGAGCTACCCCTAAAAATATTTTTTGTTCAAAAAAATTTTAACCTAGTGTTTTTGTATTAGATAAAACACATTTAGGGGGGTACCAGCAGGTTTTTCTCAAAAAAGTTGTTTTAAGCACCACCCTAATATGTATATATGTATATATGTATATATGTATATATGTGTATGTATATATATATATATATATATATATATATATATATATATATATATATATATATATATATATATATATATATATATATATATATATGTATATATGTGTATATGTGTATGTATATATCAACCCTCGGAATTAGGGTCGACATTTGGCAATGCCGACCTAACTGCCGACCTAAATGTGTTTGAGGTCGGCAAAAAATTGCTGACCTCATCTCTATGTTTTATGGTAAGACCTTTGTATTGAGCAATTTTTGCCTACCTGATGCCGACCTTTAAAAGATTGAAGTCGGTAATAATTTGCCGACCTCATTATTCTTAATTCCGAGGGTTGATATATATATACACACATATAAATTTAATATTTGGACACACACATATATATAAACACAGATTTATATATACAAATATAAATATTATTCAATTCACCATTAACTTGGTCTCTATTTAAACATTACCATTCTCTAACTTTTTAAATAAATCTTTCAAGTTATTCCATTATATTAAAAACAAACAATTGAAAACAACTTTTGAGATTTGTGTGGAAGTGAAAGGACCCAAGTTAAATTATGATTTTCACAGAATCCAAAGCTCCAAAAAAAAGACTCACTTTTAACTTTTTGTTATAAAATTGTTCTTCACTAACATAATGATATGGCTGTTCTTTATCAATTCTATGAATGATTGGTTTGGTTGAGTGACTTAACCTAGAAATAAAAAGATAAAAAATAACTAAAAATATTATTTAAGTCAATGAGATAGTAAATAAATTTTTTCCATACCTACCCAAGTCCAAAAAATTTAGGATAATCTTTGTAGAGTATTCTTGCTAATGACTTTTTTCTGAGACCCTTTTGACCAACTAAAACAAGAATTGGGTAAGGAAGACCAGTTGATAAAACACTAAAAAATATTATGTCTTGCATTTAAAACAATAAAAAAAAAAAATTAATACAAGAAAAAAACAACCCTGCAATTGGTTAAAAAGCAGCTAGATAAAAATGACACTAATGTTAAATTGACCTGTGCAATAACAAAACATCTTGACAATAGCTTTGCATTGTATTATATGAATGATCTAATGCTGCCAATAACATTTTGCTTGGGTTGAAAAAATTAGAGGCATTCACCTGAATAAAAAAGTAAAAACTAAAAAGGTTATTACAACTTGAACAGCTCTATTAGAATATTAATACTATCTATTATGGTTAACTTAATTTTTACTCTGTGTATTAATCATTTGCATTTTTAGTTATAAGCATGTTACAAACACAAGTTACATACATCATCTTTATACACGTGTAATTTTATCTAAACTTAACTTTTTTAGAATTAAATTTTTTTCATATCATTGTTATACCTATGCATAAATTAATTAATATCCGCACATAATTAAATTGTTAATATCTATGTGTAAATCAATTTGTTAATATTTATGCATAAATTCATAAATAAATTTATCAGCAATATTGTTGTAAAAATAAAATTTTATAATATAAACACAACAGAGAAATAGCTGAGTAGATTTAGAATACAATAAGTATGGTTGAATGAAAAGGATTAAGTATATATGACTCTCAATATCCCAAATACTTGAATGATTAGGATTAAGTATATATGACTCTTGATATCCCAAATACTTGAAATTGCAAAATTTAGTGTACATCAAATTTTTTCTCAGTCTTTGAACATTACTTATTTGCTATAAAATCTGATTCTTTGAACCTCAATATTTCATACTTTTTGTTTCTCAAACAATATTTTTTGGTCTTTGAATAATATTCTCTTGCTATTTTGAAATTTTTAACAACATTTTTTAACTAATGTTTTGATAACAATTCCATTTTTCATAGATCCAATTTTCAAAAGTTAAATTTAAAATACAGTTTAAATCTTATAAATTGAAATTCTGAAAAAGTATGCAGTCTCAAATAACACAATATCATGTAAGTTTAGAATTAAAAAAAAATTATTGACTTCATTGTAAAAATATGGCACTAAAACTAAATGGAAGAACATCACATCTGTGTATGGATCAAAGCCTATGGATCAAGGATTAATACAAAGAATTCAAGCTTGATTTCAAGGAATAATATGAAAGAAACTTGAATTAAAACATGAAAAAAACTTGAATTCAAGGATTAATATGAAGAATTCAAGCTAACTGTTGCAAAATTGTGTGTCTATGTATCTGGGCTGTTAATAATAATCAAACCCTGTTAAAAATGTCTATTCTTCAAATAATGAAAGATCTTATTTCTTCTCGAAATGCTGTTGAAGGAGACTATCACCAATTGTTTTAAAAAATCTAGTATCAGCAACACAAACTAGAAGATGGCAGAAGCTGATGATTATTGATGGAAATCTTTGACAGAAGAACTAGACAATATGCAAGAATTAGATCCTAGTATCATCTAAGAAGAGTTTTCAGCAGAAAATTACATTAATTTAGATTGCGATGTAGTAATCACCTATTCACTAGTTACTGATACTGATATTACTAAGATTAAAGATCTTTGGAAAACAAAAATGACGAATTTGAAGATAGTGATGACTTAGGTATAAACAATAAAGTCCTGCAATGCCTGATGTTTAATTAGAAGATGATTTTCAAATGCTTCATTATACAGCCGAAAATATCTCTAACACTGAGACTTAATGATCTAATGAAGATGGAAAAGATAATTTAAAGCAATGCCAGGTAACAGACTTTTTCAAAAAATTGTACCTTTTGTTGTTAGTAATGTTTGTAAGATAAGGTATTTTTAGTAAAAGTCGGGTGATTTTATTTTCTTGATATTTTGATAATTTTTTATATACTAAAAATTTTTTTACTAGTCCCCTGAGAGTTAGAGGTATCTAGAAGCAACTGTATTAGAATAATTATAATAATTAGTACAAACAACATATAATTATTTATTAATTGATTTTATTTATAAAAAGCTTCTGATTCCTGTAAACTAAAACCAATAAAATCTTTATCAACATTTTAAACTATTCTTAATATTTTTTTTTTTTTTCAATAACTTTTTATATTATAAAATTCCTTATATTAAAATTCCTTATATTATTTATGAACAAATTTTATTTTAACTTTAAAAAAAAAAATTTGTTGACAGATTTATAACATCACATAAACTATTTCTGAAATGATAACTTATTGCATAAAAACTTTAACTTATTGCATAATAACTTTAATAGAAACTGAATTTTGAGACAATTTAACTACAAAAGTTAGAAAATTAAAAAAAGTTAGAAAAACCTTTTCCTCAGTAGATATTGCTTCGAGATCTAACTCAGAAAGTGTTTGAATTTTAAACAAAACTGATAGTCGATAATTTTTTGATGCCTTTATAAATATTAAAGAAATTCAAAATTATATATTTAATAAATTATTTAACTTTTACTATTAAATGTATAGAAAGACAAAACTGAAATAAAATATATTAAAATACAATGATAATTAATACAGTTTTTTTAAATCACATAAAGAATTGTCAAATTAAAAAAGGCACAGAATTATTTACAATGAAAAATTAATCATATAAATTAAATAAAAATTGATCTTATAACCTGGATTGGATTATCAATAAAATTTAGATATTGAAGCATTTTTAAGTGTTTAATATAATCCAATTGAGATAGATCGCAAATCTAAATTAATTGAAAAAGTATTTACTTAATAACAATAATAGCATATATATATATATATATAAATATATATATATATATATATATATATATATATATATATATATATATATATATATATATATATATATATATATATATATATATATATATATATATATATATAATATATGGTTTGCTTTTTTACAAAATAAGATAAAATGTATTAAATAATAATAATAAATAATCTAAAGATTACATAACAGTGTAAAATAAACAATTAAAGTTATCATTTTTTAGAATATTTTTTAAAAAGAGGTTGCCAACTGTGGATATTTTTATGCCACAGTCATAGTAAAGAAGTAAAAGAACATTTTTTATTTCCTTGCACATTAAGTCATAATAAATTTTGAAGTTTTCTCACTTTTTATTTTGATTATGATGCTCTGATGTAATTGCAGCAAATTTTTGAATGTATTCAATCAAACATGCCATAACATTCTCTACAGATGTCAGTTCAAGTTGTCTTTCATACTATTTTTAATGTACCTCATAATAAATATCTTTTTGTTCCTTTTATCTTCAAAAATATGCACAAATAGTTTGAGTCAAAAAATATGTACAAATAGTTGTTATTTTAAATGTTACTCAAAAAAACAATAATAAAAAAATACTAATTTTCTATTTAAGATTGCCATGAATCATTTAGAGCTTTATTTTAATAAAAGAATTCTTTAAAGAAACATTTATTATGTCTTTTTGTAATTTTTATTTTATGCCTAATGATTGACCGAATCCGTTCAAATCGAATCCAAATATCACAAAGTGAAAAAAAAAAAGTTATAATAAAACACATACAACAAGATACAACATATTTATAAGGAAATATGTGGGTATATATATACACACACACGTATATATATATATATATATATATATATATATATATATATATATATATATATATATATATATATATATATATATATATATATATATATATATATCAGGGGCTATTCTAGACCATTTTCAACAAGGTCAACCGTATTTAGGCGCTTTTTCCTAGAATAGCCCCTATATATATATATATATATATATATATATATATATATATATATATATATATATATATATATATATTATATATATATATATATATATATATATATATATATATATATATATATATATATATATATATATATATATATATATATATATATATATATAGATTAATTCATACATATGTCATATCTTGTTTTATGTGTTTTGAATATAATTAATTTTTTTCTAAGAAAGAAATTATACCTGATTGTTCTGTAAATTTAATTTTCCAAGCATAATGAGTCCAGTTAAGCCATTTAAAGAACTGATTCTATTTGAAGACATATCCAAATGCTGGAAATTATATTTATTTACAACAATAATAATGAAAACAAGAACAACAACATAATAATGATACTAATAACAATGCTAATTTATGTAATATTGTTATTGTATGTCTATTTTCTTAGTTTTATGCAATAGATTTTATGTTATTAATTTTTAGAAGACAATGAAGAAATAACTAATACAAATACACAAAAAGTAAAAAAAAAAAAGTGTTGTGAAGCAAATCAAGTGATGGCAACCTTTGAGCATATCAATTCTTTAATTAGCTAAGTGTTGACTTTAATCATTAACTAAATTTCCTGTTACTTTTAATTGTTGATTAACTTTTACTAATGTAAATTTATCTGAAACATCAAGTCACTTTACTGGTGATAATGCGATTGTCATTATTTTATTTAAATTGATAATGGTTAAACTTATTTTAAAACTTTATAAATAAATATTATAAGGTTTAAATTTACATTGGCAATTAAACGTTATAAGATTAAATTTACTTTATTTGTTAAATTGTAAACTTTTAAAACAAATATCTATAAATAATTGAAAAATTCTGCATATTTTAAACTAAAATATTATAGAAGATATCATATTAAAAAAAAAAAAATTAATTGTCCAAACCTGCAGCTTTTGAAGATTTTCAAGACCCATTATATCCGTAATTTGATTGTTACTCTAAAGATAATAATTTCTTGAAAAAATATAATTAAACATATTTACTAATATCATATGTACTACATCCCCTGATAGTATATGAATCCACTATTTTGAATTTACATACTATCAGCAGGGGTGTGGAGTCGTAAACTAAACCTGACTATCAGGGGATGTAGTACTTTTACCTATTTATAAAAAAATGTTTGTTTTGAAGCTCTGAGTAAAGAATTAGAATTGGACAAAAAAAAACTAGAAAAAAGTTTTAAATGGAAAAAGTAGTCATTTTAAAAACTGATTTTTAAAAAAGAGAAGGTTGTTTAGGCATTAAAAGTTTTTTTTTGCAAACTTGTCAGTTGTCATTTTCCTAATTTTTTTTCAGCAATTACAAAAAGTGCCCCTGTTGTACAATGTGAACTTACTTTAGATTTTAATGTTTAGTAAAAGAAAAGCAAATAAATAATACAATTTGAAAAAAATAAGGGAAATAATTCATATTAAATTTAAAAAGTTCATAATTGGTAAACCAAAACTACCAAAGTTAATCAAAACCAACTTGACTACACTGAAACTAGTATAGTAAATCAAAACCAACTTGATTACACTGAAACTAACATAGTAAATCAAAACCAACTCGGTGCACTAAAAGCTTAACCAATTTTAAAATCAATATAATTCTTTAATATAAATTTCGCAACGTATCCAATAGTCATTACGTTGCAAAAAAACATTTTAACATCTATCTTTATATTGAGTAATCTCTGTGAAGAAAATCTTTTATCATACAGGTTTACTACAGATTGAGTTTTCAAAAACATCCATATCATTTTCACTATTAGAATTTTCATTAAAATTTTCATTAATAATATTTGTATTTAAGATTAATAGTTCTTTTACTTCGAATGGCATGTCATTAGATCATCCGAATGACATCATAAGATGTCATTCGGATGACATCTTATGTTTGTTGTAATTTTAAATTCTTTGTTGTAATCTTGAACTTGAAAGAATCGGATCTGAAGCCTCCATTGCACGTGTGAATCCATTAAAGAGGTTGTGTTGGCGACTATTTTTTTTGAGCATGATTGATTTTATCTGATCTAAAAGTTTATTTCTACTTTCTGAAGCTCCTTTGGATAACATGCCAACATGGACAATTGAATTTGATATGATTTGTGAGCCATGTATGAAAAGTTTTTTTAATGTGGGAGTCATAGGAAATTTTCTATACAATTTAACATACCGAGATGCTGTTGAGAAACAATAGTCATTAAATTTGAATCAATTGGAAATCGATAAGAACACAACAAAAGTACTCTTAATCTTTAAACAAGCTCCAAATTGATTTCTAAATTTCAGAAAAGAGCTTTGAATCTTCAAATGCTCTTTTTGCAACATTTCCAGTATTACTATTGCCACCGCTTGATTTGGCAAGCTTATATGAATGTTAAGTTTGTTTTTGAATTGGGTTTGAATTTCAATCTTCCTTGCTTTTATTTTTGCTTTGTTTTTTTTTTTTTCCAATGCCAATGATTTTCAGGCAAAACTAATTTATAAGAAATATGTAACATTGCTTTGAAACAGCATACATGCATGTGAAGAATGCTTAAACCATATTGAAGAGCTACTGGGTTAACATTAATTACTCCTCATGTAAAATTAACTAGTTTATTCTTTTGAAAAACAACCGCACACAGTACATCGTTGAAATGAAGATATCTTTGTAATAAATGCTCGAATCTTTCCATCTATTAATGTCAAACACAGCCCACATTCAACAAATAGTTCCTTTCCAGACTTTAATATAATCACAACCTTTTGGAGTTGAGCAATTTCTTTATCATATTTTTTCTTTAACTTAATGTATATTCTTTACTTTCTCTACAAATTCAATTTTCTGTGGACGGCAAAATCTAGTAGACTGAGAAGTTTAATTAGTCCATAAAATTTTTTCACAGATTGTTTGCAATCTTAAAGGAATCATACATGTCACAAATATTGAACTATCGCTAAAAGTTTCACTTGGATTTTGATTGAACCTTGCTTATAGTGTGCTACCGTCAAAGTCATAATGCATTGAACAACATTAATTTCTGCAATATTTTTCTCAATAAGTTCATTCTGTAATTTACTAATTCTTTCCAGAGTATGCCTTAATAGATGCTTCCATTCTACTTTGATGATACTTCAGAGTTAATCTTATTCAATGCAGCTGTCAAATTTTGATTTTAAATAATTTGTTTGATTAAATGAGATATGTTTTTCAAGATATTTTTCATCATGTTTTGCAGTGACAGTTGCAGCAACTCTTAGGTACATATCAGTTTCAGGTTTGTTATTAGATACAAGATTAGCAATAACTCTGGGTTTGGATCTGGTAGACCTCTTCGAAAATGGCATAGTTGGTTTTCCTTTTTTTGTTTTTACAGAACTGGGCAACTGAGAGCCACATTTAAGTTTTATTGAAAGCTTGTATTCCGTTTGAAGCCAACTTCTATGGTATTTCATGAACCATGCCAAAAAACAACCTTGCTTTCTGCAAAGTTTGTTGTATTGTTTTTATATTCTTTATTTTCTGAGTTATAACTTATTTTTTTACTTCCCTTGGGTCTCTTAAGGTCTCTTAAGTTTTCTTCACAATGCAACAAACATTTTTCAATAGCTAGGTTATGTTTATCATTTTATTTTATAATTGAAACAATGTCACAAGTTTTTTAAAACTAATGAATCAAACAGTAAGTTTATATCAAAAAAGACTAAGACTAAGTTTATATCAAATTTGATTGGACTAAGTTTGAAGTATTTATTGATTTTGATTTCCACTGGCCATCACAGCAAAATTATATCTGTAGCTTTTAAGTAATAAACAAACTAAAAACACTATAAATATATATATTTTTATTGGAAATAAATGAAATGAAACTAATTTTATTGCATATATTGATAAACTTTTTCATTATCTTTACACCAATATATAATTTTATATGCTTAAAACAGCAGTTATGAAGTAATTAGAATAAACTCGAAAAAGGAATTTTAACACAAATTTCTGTCAGCATGAATTCGAGTTTAATGTTTACTCAATATCCACCTTTTTGTTAAATCCAACCTAATCAGTTTTAGATGCAGCTACAAATAAGATATAAAATTGGCATTTAAAGTTAAAAAAAAAAAAAAAATTAAAACTTTTAATTTTTTAAGACTTTTGGTAATTTTTCCTTTGTTATGCACTGAGGAGGTGAATAACAAAATAATAATAATAATAATAATAGCAATAATAACAATAGTAATAATAACATTAATAATAATAAAAAAACCAATAACAATAAATAACCAAAAAAAATTAAAGTAAACCACCATTTACCGATTCTTAGTAAAAGCAAAAGTGAATTATGTGTGCAGATTACATAAAGCAAAATCAATCTCAATATACAAATACAGCAACTTCTACTTTCATTGAAAATGTTTGCTTACAATAACTAAAAATTAATCTAAACATTACTACTAAACTAACAATAAGTCAACTTACCAGGTCTAGTGTTGTAAGAAACTTTAAATGTTCTAATCCAAATGTATTTTCGATTTTGTTATGAGATAAACTTAATTCGGAAAGTTGTGTACACTTAGCTAGACCATCAATTCTAGTAATTTGATTAACTTTCTTATGTTAAAGAATGTGTGTGTGCTTGTATGTGTGTATATATATATTTATATATTAATATATAATATAATATATATATATATATATATATATATATATATATATATATATATATATATATATATATATATATATATATATATATATATATATATATATATATATACATATATGCATATTATATATATTTATATATATGTTATAGGATTGAAAACCTACTGCAACTATCATCAACATTTTCAAAAATAAACTTCAAACAAAAGTTTGTTTTTTTGATTTAAAAACAATTTTCTTTTTCTTTTTTTTTTTTAAAAGGTGTGTTGACAAGCCAACATTTGTAATAATTTAAGTGAGAAAAATCTACTATTAAAGACCTGATTTAAAGTGGCATATGCAGATATATTTTTACAGTTTAAAGCTCTTGGTTCCACACTTGTGTGATTTAAACCTCATTGCTATTTTCTTATTTAAATCTAACTTTTAGGTAAATTGCTTTTACCACAGCTGAGGAGCTTCCACTTTCCTACTCTTTTTAATATTTAAGTTTTACCAAAAAAACAAAATAAGGCGTAAAAAACGTAAAACAAAAATACAAGTATGTAAAAAAGATACAATCCAGCAATAGCGTTTCCAATAATGGATGACAAGATAAATCATTAATTTCATTTATAAAGTTAAATGTGCAATCAATTTTCTGAAATAAAATCAAACTAAAATGAGTGAACTTAAACTTGTACAAATAAAAATTAACAAACCTATAAATCAAACAACAACAAAAACAACAACAGTAATAACAATAAGCTATTTATTTTGCATTAATACTCATTTTATAATTCAATAACACAATAAAACAGTAAGAAAAATAATAATATTAATAATAACAAATACAACAGTAATTTTAATAATAATAATAAAAATAACTATAATATTAATATAAAACTATAATTATCAATTTTTTTTTAAATGGTAATAATCCGCAGCGCTAAGAGGGTCACTAAGATAAGGAGGCTACTTAATTGTGGTTATAACCCTCTTTCAACTCTATAACTCCCAAACACAAACTTTGATGAACAAGGCTGCTGCACAGAGAAACAAGTTGAGCATGGTACTACCAAGGATGTGGTGGGAATCTAACTTAGAATCTCTTGCTTATGAAGCAAGCGTTATGAATCTTCTATTCACCACTATTGCATAAATAATAACATAAACTTTTTAACAAAATATTTCATCAATAAAAATTGGCATCATCAGGTATAAAAAAAAAAAAAAACTCATTATAATTTCTGTATATAAACAATTTTTTGCTACATTAAAAATTTTATTATTTATTAATTTTAATGTAGCAAATAAATTGTTCATATACAGAAATTGTAACAACTTTTTTTTTATACCTGATGATGTAAATTTTTTAATGATAAAACATGTTGTTAAAAAGTTTTAAAAAAATAGTTATTTATTTGAAAATTATTACTAAATTAGTGCTACATAAACCGTTTAAAATTATAGTTATAACTATAAAAATATAATAAGATCACAAAATTTATTAAAGTTATACAAGTTATATTTTATTATAATTAAGAGTAATAAGTTACATATCTATAAGAGTAATAAGTTATATATTTAAAAGTAACATTTTTTATATAATTATAATAATAATAAATTACCATAACAATAATTAAAATTACCATAATAATAAATAAAATTTTGAAAATTAAATAATAATATTAGAAAATTAAAATAGCACCTAAAAAACAACTCATGGGAGTTAGTCAACTATGTTCTCTATGATTATTTTTTTAACTGTATTAATTTTTTCATACAACAACTTTATGCAGTAACAAAGAAAAGAATCAACATATCCACAAAATAAACACAGTAAACTACAATAAAGTCTTAACAATAATTTATCAATGCAAAATCTATTTGTGAGGATGATAATAATAGGAAATGGATATGGGAACCTACTTCATTAAAAAAACAAAAAATAACCTATACCAAGTACATCAGCTACATAAAGAAGAAATGATCATCAAGGAAGATTGTCAAAGGATGCAGATAATCATAAGTTGGTCAACATGTTTACAGTTGACATAAGTAAAGAACCAGCATGTTGGGTCTATGCTGCTCATAGGAATTAAAATTTAACATGCCATGTGCAACTTTGTGTAGTACCTCTTCATAAAGGAAACTATTTTTTTTTTAAATACTACACTTCAGAAAAGTATGAATTTTTCCTACATAAGACTACTTAATAATGAGTGTAAATTTTTTAACTGATTTTTATTTTTTTAATAATATACAATAATAAATAGAAAACTTATCAAATAGTTAAATATATATATATATATATATATATATATATATATATATATATATATATATATATATATATATATATATATATATATATCAGGCCTTGTGATGAAGAAAAACTGCGCGACGCTTAAGCATGACATGATTTTTGACGTCATTAAATTCTTTTTATTTGCTTTTCATATTTATCGACATTAACTGCACCAATTTACTTAATTACCACAAAACTACTTTAAATCATTAATGTTATTATTTAAAAATGTTTTGGTACTCAAACAAAATAAACAATCTTATTTGTTTATTTTGTTTATAATGTTTCGTTTTTTAAAATGTAAAAGCATTTGTTTATTTTCTCGACGTTTGACACGCTTTGTCTATACTAAACTTTTTCTCAAATATGTAATTTAAAGGTTTTCAAATAATTATTTTTTCTTTTTAAAAAGTCAGCGAGTAATAAACTGGAAATTTTAATATTGTACGATTAAAAACTGTGCAATAGCTAATATTTTTACCAGCGATTTTATATAATATTTATTTATTTATTTTTATTTATTTCCATAAAGCAGTTGATAAGCACAATCACTCATATTACCGTAAACTGGGGTAACTTTGTACCAATTTCGATGAAGAAGATAACTTTAAGAAAAAAAGGAACATTTTCCCAAAACTATTTTGATGCTCAAAGTTGTGCATTACTAATGTCATTTAATTAGTAAAATGGTGTATTTATTGTATTCACCAAATCCAAGATTTTATGGAAATAATGAGGTGGTCAATGTTACCCGGCAATGGGGTAACTTTGACATAGTAAATTGTTTTTTAGCACCGGATGTAAATGAAGTGTTATTAACAAGATTTAATGTAATTTAAACTTACAGTTCGCAATTATTTCAAAATTTGATATACTTAAAATATATCAAGAAATTAAAAAAGGGCTTTTTTTAATGGTGCAAAGAATGCAACATCAAGAGGTTGAAGCAAGTGTGTTGAATTAGGCAGAAGGCATATGAATCTAATGTTATGTTTTTCACAAGAATGAAAAACTTTATGACTTAAATGGGAAGAGAGATTGTCACCTATTAAAACTTTTTTCCCAGTTTGTTTCTTAATGCATGGCAATAATGTTCTAAAAAACCAATCCTCAAAAATAACTTCATCAAATTTGCCAGATCGGGTTCTATTAAAACAAGAATTTTTGGGACCGTGTTTTATCCATAAATTGTATAAATGTGTGCTTTTAAAAACTGTGTATGGTGGAAGAATTTCTCCAACACCATTTCCACAAAACATTACAGAGAAACAAGCCTTACTGCTATTCGTTATCCTCTCAGGGTACTTAGTTCCACGTTTCATTACAACTTTTTTATTTCCAGGATCATCACGTAAATTTGTTTCATCATAATTCCAAATGTTACACGGTGGAATCCCTTCAAGCTCAAGTCTAATATTGTCAAAATAAATTTTTAATTGTTCTTTGTTTATAGCTACACGTTTTCTTTTAATATTTGATGCAATTCTATGGGTTAACTGTGAACGTTTCATAAAACTTGAAACCCAATCATCACCAGGAAGATTGTTTTTAAATATTTTTACAGTACGTTTTTGCGATTTTAAATAACCAGCTACTAACATTTTAACATCAAGTTTATTTAATGGAAATCCCAATTGGCACATAACTTTGATTCTAGATGAAAACAACTGCTCCTCATCATAAGTAAATATGGTTGGTGCACCAATGCATTTTTTATGCTTTGACTTCATCTATTATGTATAGTGCTTCTTGGTATACTAAACCGTTTTGAGGCTTGACAAATAGAAATACCTTCATTAAATGATACCATAAATAATCAAAATAGTTAAGTTTACTGAAAACCATTGCATAAAAGAGCTTAAGATCTCCTTCTTCTGTTTTTAAAGCAAACTTAGCACTGTGTAATTTATGGAAAATCTTAAAGGATTTTCCATAAATTACACATTTAAAATTATTAAATTTTAAATTATTGTAATTTTTTTCAAAATATAAAAACTCATAACTAGGTGGCATGCTCATTTAAAAATCTTGAAATTATTTTTTATTTTATACCCCATATATATATATATATATATATATATATATATATATATATATATATATATATATATATATATATATATATATATATATATATATATATATATATATATATATATATATATATATATATATATATATATATGTATATATATACCATCCCACCTAATCATTGTTGTATAGAGAGATTTATAAACAGGTGATGAGATGGCATCCTGCCTCACTTTGAACATTATATATATATATATATATATATATATATATATATATATATATATATATATATATATATATATATATATATATATATATATATATATATATATATATATATATATATATATATATATATATATAACATAATAAAAAGAAGATAAAAAATAAATAAAAATAATAAAAACAATATTAAACAATCTTTCAAAAATATCAAAATAAAATCCATAATTGAATTAAGGATGAAAAGATATAAAACAAATAATATACATTAAAATATATTACAACTTTTTAAATAATATAAAGTGCAATATAACAAGATTTGTAAAAAGTTGCAGACTTTATATAACTGCACTTTATTTAATCTATAATATATAACATGGTACTATATTTTAATGTATACTATTTGTTTTATATTTTTACATTTTTTTAAATAATAATTTTGAAAAAAAAAAATCAAATTAACAAAAATTCAAAATGTAGTAAAAAGCATTTTGAAAATAATACCCTTATTGCACTCAAACCATCATGATTAAAAACTTTTTCCAATTTATTGTGCGATACATTTAATGATATTAAATAATGAAGAGACAATAATGCGCTTAAATCTAAAAAAAGATATAACTAGAAAATGTGAAATTATTTTAAATATTTAGTGTGGCCTGTTGTCCGCACTTCTCTAAAATGGTTTAGCAATTTATGGCTCTTGAAAAAGTATAAATATTTTGTATAAAAAAATAATTTAAATAAAAAAGTCTGAGTTTCAGATTGACTTTTTTTTTGCTTACAAAATGAGATGTTTATTTTGTTTGAGTACCAAATATTTTTTTTTTGTAGTGCTTTAAATTGTATAACTACACTTGCTAACAGCTTCTTAACTTTATAATTTAAGTTATTTTATACTGCAACAATTATTTTGTTTTCAGAAGAGCAGAGTTTTAGTATTATAAATGTGAATATAAATATAACATAACTATAATACAAAGTTATAAGAGAATTAGTAAAAAAAAAAAATCTTTCTTTCTTTTTAAACACAGATATGCAGTGTAGAGAGATTTCTTTTTCTAAAATCCTTTGTGTGGTATTTGGTTGCATCTGGTTGTGACATGATGTTTATGTTTTTTTCTAGTTATTTAATGAAATTCTTTCGAAACTTAATTTATTCTAAATCTACAACAGTCATCATTCCTACCATATATAAATATTTCTAAATCTAAAAACATTTGTTCAAACATCTTTTGATTTATTTAGAATCTTATTTCATGTTATGACTTATTGGATCTTATTCATTGTTTATTTTTTGACTTATCTTTAGGGAGGTCTACAAGTACAGCTGTTGTGGTTGCTTAACTTTGATTAAATAATGTCTGAATTCCTTCAAATAAGATCTAGTAGAAGTAACTGTTTTTTTAACAAAATATTTTTCAAAGATAATTAGTTTTTGAAAAACCTTTTCAAGATAGAATTGAGAAATAGAATTGAGAACTTGATGTATTTAAGAAATCATAATATATAATAAATAAACAGAAATGTTTTTGGATTGTGCTGGAATTTTTGAAATTTTGAAAGTTTTGGATTGTGCTGATTGTAGAATAACAAATGCAGTATTTAGAAAAAAAAAAACTTATTGCAGCAAAAAATACAATAATGGAAGGTGATTGTGAACATGCTGTGCAAAATATGACCACACATGTAATAATTCTAAATATGGAAGACGTTCAAGTTGGTATTTAACTAAATATTGCAGTAATTTTTAATGACGTTTAAATTTAATACTGCTAATGTATCTTAATTTAAATCTCATATTTTTTGTATATAATTTATTTAAGTTTTATTTAATATTTATATGAGGTCTCAATTAAACTTAAAAATCATGACAGTTATTTAAAAAAAAAAAAACATTTTACAACTTTCATTTTCTTAAATACATGTTGAGTTTCTTATTTGCAACTTTTACGTTCTCAATTACATTTTGAAAAGGTGTAGATTTAAGAATTGGAATGATTTTTTTCAGATTTCTTAATAGTTCATTAAGTTCATTAATTTTTTAAAAGTTCTCATATCTAGATATTGTATTTATGAAGAAAACAATAATAATAGTTATAGAAAATTTAATTAACTCAAACTACTGAAAAGATAATCTACAGGATTGAATTATCAAGCTTAGATGCTTCTTGAACGGTAGTAGTGAAGTGGTAGAGCGCTCGCTTCATAAACGAGTGGTTCGGAGTTCGATCCTCACCACGTCCCTGGTAGTACGGCGCTCAACTCGTTTCTCCGCGCAGCGGCCTTGTTCATCAAGGTTCGTGTTTCAGAGTTATAGAGTTGAGAGAGGGTTATAGCCACAAATAAGTAGCCTCCTCGTCTGTAATGGCCTTCTCGGCCTTGAAGAGGTGAATTAAAATTAAAAAAAAAAAATTCAAATATTGATTTCAATGAAAAGACTAGTTTTAAACTAAATTTATAAAAGATGTGCTTTTTGAACAATTACAAAGAAGCATCTAAGCTTGATAATTCAATCCTGTAGATTATCTTTTCAGTAATTTGAGTTAATTAAATTTTCTATGACTATTATTATTGTTTTCTTCATAAATACAATATCTAGATATGAGAACTTTTAAAAACTTAAGAACTTAGAGCATAGTTTTCTTAATAATTCTTAGTAAAAAAAGTTATCCATTAATGAAGCAATTATTTGGGTTAATTTGGATGCTTTTAAAATGTTTGACTATGACATTGTTACATGCAATTATAGCATGTTCAAGTAATGAGTGACACATATAGATATAACATAAACATTTGAAAAATTAAAGATCTAAAACTTAATAGCATCTGAAAGTACAAAAAAGTAAGTTTTCATTTTTAAAGATATTTATAAATATGCAGAGTGCTTCATACAAATTTTGGAGGGCTCATATACTGTTATGGACTCAGTAAAAACTGAAAATCTATTTAAAAAATTTTGGAAAGTAATATAATAATGCATACTACTTTCGAGGTAAAGGATAGTAAAAATTATTTAAATTGACTTCACTTTTTTAATTTTTTATAAGCATTTTACTTTACTTATATGCGACCTTTTATTTTTATGTTTTATATATTTTTCATTCATTAAAATTTAGTTTTATAGCATTAAATAATTACCAGTTTAAATTTTGAAATGAAATGCAAAACAACACTCCAGTATTGAAATTTTCATATATTGCATTTATTATCAGTTAATTAAAAATATTTCAAACTCTAACACATATAATTATGTCAAATCATATAATATGCCATAAACCATTTATACAATGCACCACTTGATAAGTTTATAGTAAAGCATAGGTTCTCTATCAATAAATTAATCTTTTTTTTTTCAGAAAACATATGTAAACATAATGTATGAAAAATAATTTTAAGAATTGTTAGAGTATATGTACCAATCTTATTGTTAACAAATTTAAATTTTTAGTTTTTTCAGTTGTTCTATCAAGTTATTAAGAGATGCGTATCATTTTTTTAAATAATAAATTTACTAGACAAAAATTTTTGAATAAATTTACCACTAATACTATTGTGAGAAAGATCAACAGTCTGCAAATGAGCATAACTTATCAAAAAACCAATATCCATCAAACTCTTATTCTAAATAAAAAATAAAAAAATACTTTAAAATAAATAAAAAAATTCTATAAAACTGAAAAAAATTATAACTAGATGATTTTAACAATTTTATAACAAGAAGTACATTGCATTTCTTGTATTTCATGTAGCTGTTTGTTAGAAAATATAAGTAACTAGATAATAATATAACTGTCTTAGTTCAAAAACAAGTTTTCATCGATTTGGAAAACTATATATATTGTTATTTTTTTTAAATCTTGAATTTAATTTTGTCATCTTTTTTTTAAGAAAGTTTTTTATACAAACAATAACAAAAAAATATATACTACTTAAGTAAATATATCAATTACAAATGTAAACAATATTGTTATGCTCTTTTGAACCATATGTACCTCACACTAACATTTAGCCAAGTTAAAAATGAAACTGTTATTTAAAATGTCTGCAATTAAAAAAACAATTAATTAATTTCTTATGTAGCAATCTAAAAGTTCTATTGATTTTTTAACAACAAAAAATAGTGAAAATAAATATGAATTTATTCTAAACAAAATTTAACTTGATAACTAAAAAAAAATCAATTAAAACGCAAAATACTAAAACTCCTAATCATTATTTAATTAAGTTATCAATTCAGTTAACTTTGTCATCTCTATTAATGGCTGCAACTTTTAATTGTTGCAACTTCAATTGGCTGCAACTTTTAACAGTTGCAACTTTTGATGTTTGCAATTTTTAATGGCTGTAACTTTTAACAGTTACAACTTTTGAAAACTCTGAGATTACTTGACTTTTCTAAAAATTGCTTAAAAAAAACTTATATATTTAATTAGCAAGGCCTATGAGCTTTTGATTAACAAAATTTTATCTCATCTTGAATCAAACAATGAGTCAAGATGAGATAGAATTTGCTCCTTTTAATAACTTGCTAAAGCTTTTCTCCTTATGTCTTGCTGGTAACATTTATAACAGATTTTATCATGCATCAGATGGAAACAAAAAAATTGTCCAAAAGCTTGGCATGCTGGCCTTCTCTATAAGTTTTGGGAGTATATCTGGCAAAATCCATCAGCAGCATTATAACATGCTTCTTTTTTTCCAGTAATTTTAGGGGAACCGCAGGGTTCCATCTTTGGTCCAGTTTTGTTTCTCATCTAAATTAATGGTCCACCTAATAACTACTAAAGTGATAATACTTGATGATAATACAACTATAAACTCTAGTCTTGAAAAAAAATTCATCACTTTTTAATTGCTTAGTCATTATTATACTAATGCACATAATGAGTCCTCTTCTTCACATCATTTTGTGTTATCTTTAATTACCAACCTTTAATTAAAACCATTTAAAAATTAGCAACTGCTTAGGTTGCCTCTTCTTATTGTGCTTGCCTTTTTCCTTACTCCTGATTCCATTCTCTAACTTGAATCTTTTACAAATCTATCTCAATAAATATTTTACAAATCTATTTTGAGAAATACATTCATGATGAGAAATACATTCAATTTGAGAAATACATTCATACATGAGAAATACAAATTATAATCTCTTGTTTTCATGTTTTCCAGATAATACAGTACAACATTTCTACAAAATATCTTATGGTATCTGTTCTTATCAAGAATTTCATGTATATCTGTTAATGCAAAAATCATTACTATTGACATATTTTATTAAATCATAAATCAATATATTGAAATATTTTATTAAATCATAAGGTTGCACTTATAACATTTATAGAAAAGAAAAAGTGGTGCACTCTTTTCCTTTTTCTATAAGTACTACTACATAACATCATCACTTCTTCGATCAACCAAAACTCAATCTTGCATTGGTGATTATTCATCAAAATCATATCTTTTAATCAAACTTATATCTGTGCATATTATTAAAAAAATTATTTTTTTGTAGTTGAAGATTATTAAAGATATCTAGATCTATATGATCTAGATAGCATTTGCTCAAAAGATATCTAGATCTATATCATCTAGATAGTACTTGCTCAAAATCAAACTCTTATTTAATGTACTGTAGCCCTAACAGATGGCTAATTCAGTATAATGTCATCAATAACATTTCATCCATGCTTATGTATGCAAAATTATTTTTGTTTGTATTGGGGACCTATAAAATCTTCAAAAAAATTGAGCAATCGCTAAAAAAATAATTTTTAAAAGGTAAAAGAAAGGGGAGGGGGTGGGGAAAAGAGAGAACATTAATTTTTTTAAAACTACTCTATGTGTTTAACATACTAACTTAAGTTTGTAATATATATTTGTATTTTAATATGATAACTTATATTTCCGTTATATATTTATATTTTACCTTTAATGATAGATTAAGGAATGCTAAACTTGATCCGTCTGCTGTGTATCCCAGGTGGAAAAGTCCATCAGACACAACATTAAAATTATCATTCAAACGTTCCTCGATTTTTTTCTAAAACAACACAAGTAACATATAAGTATATAAACAACATTGGAAACAATTGTTTTGTTCTTTTAGGACTCATTAAAATTTTTTGTTCTTATGGAAAAAAAATCTTAGTAAAAAAACTTTTCTTAATGCAATTTAGAAAATTTGATGTTTCATGATACTTAAACTACATAGAAGGGTTGCTTATGTGAAATGTGATGCAATGTTAGCAGTCTATTAATATCATATACTTTGTTTTGTTTGAAAAATATTTTTTTTAATTAAATGTTTTTGCAAAATAAACTTTATATTTTGTTTAATTAATGATAGATTTAAACTGATTTGTTTAATTAATGATAGATTTAATCTGAATAATGACACAACAAAATATCAGTCAATTTATCAACTACATTTTAGTGATGTACCAATTAATTGTCATCTGCTTAATCTGCCACTTTTTGCACAATCGGAATCAACCTTTTTTTATTAATTTACAGATTTCCCAACCAATAGCATTTTAATATTTTTATTCTGCATTATAATAAATATTAAATAATAAATTAACTAAACTTTATGCATTACTAAGAGTTTTTTTAAGAAATTGTTTATTTTGACTTTACAGCCAAAATTTACAGGCAAATTTGTTAACTCTTAATATGATGTTTATAAGCTTTAATTTAACAGCTGAATGTACTTTTCTTATATTAACATGTTGTTTTTAGAATAATTTTATTTTGTGTTGTTATACTGTTATACTTAAATGTAACCTATTTAAGCATTGTTATCTATGTGTTCAAGTATAGCCTTCTATATTTCTATATGATTGCTATTTAGATATCTTAATTACTAATAAATTGATAAAGAATTCTAAGTAAACAGCTTATCTTAGTACCATTTTCTTTTTAAGATAAAAATAAAAAGCGTTCCTCTAAAATTATGTTTATTTTTTGAAATTTTTCATAGTAAAAAAAAAGTAAAAAATGTATATTTTTTCAACTGAGTTTTTCTTTTAAAATAATGGTCTGGATCTGATTTCGGCCCATGTATTTGTTTACCAGTACTGATTCCATGAAAAAAATTTACACGATTTAAAGTTGTATGATTTTATATTTTCAAAATTTTAATAATTAGTTAACTCATTGGTATTGGCATTGGTATCAGCCTTTTCCTATCCATCGGTATTAGCATCAACCACAAATGTGGCCGTTGCCGATACCGATGTATGGGAAAATGATCACTACCACATTTACTTTTTATTAATATTCTAATTTTTTTTAAAGACAATATTTTCTCCTGAGCCAAATTTAAAACTCAAATTTAAATTTAAATCAAAATTAAAATTTAAAATTCAAATATTGAAAGAGAGAATTATATAAACATTTTCTTCTTATAAAACAATTTTAATTTTTAATTGAAGTATTTGTATCTTGAATAATTTTGTCTCAATTTAAAGTTTTAAAAATGATTTTTTCTAAATTTTGAGGATTACCAGTTCTTTTGCAATAATTGTTTAGAAAAACATGTTTGTGTACTTATACTTATGCAATATATTGTACTTAAATAAGTATTTTGGGAATAATAGTCTGCCAGCAAACAAATTAAATGTTAATCTTCTTCAAACACATGTTACAAAAAATAAATTTTTTTTTTAGTGATACATTTTATAAAGCATAAACTAAAAAGTGGTGGGACAACATTATACTTTAGGGTGAAGTAATTTTCATTTCAAAATTTTTTTTATACTTTTAAAAAAAAAGAAATATGATTACGTACTTTACGTATCAAGATGTTACATTTTCATGTAACTGTTACGTATTAAATGTGTGTTATTTTTGAGTGACAAAAAGTAACATTTTTAACCTTACAAGACGTAACACTACAACATGTGGTTTTTTACAACTTTTTTAAATTTTTGCTTTTTGATATTAACATATATATATACATAAACAAATATACCTAACAGTGTTTCAACAAATATTGGAAAAGCATTTTTAAAATTAATTAGGATTGTCCTGGATAGAATATCTGGCCAGATATCTAGGCCAAATTTGTATAATATCCCATATCCAACCAGATAATAAAATAATCTGGTTGGCTGCGATGGATATTTCATGTTAATCAATAATAAAAAAAAAACTTTTACTATTCCTGAAACTAGTCCTGTTGTCTTAAAGATAAACAGTTTATACCTGATCAAACCATTTAGTAATTAGCAGAATGAGGGAATCTAGAACTCAAATTCTAAAGTGTTGATCTTTTAAAATAATCTAATGTTAGAAAATTCAAAAAAATTTTTTTTTCAAATAACTTAAAATAAAAATAACTTAAAATAACTTAAAATAACTTAAAATAAAAAGTTCGAATAAATAAGAATTAACTGTGCACAAGAACTAAAGATTTTAATGAGTTTATTTGCATTATGTATAAACAATAGCATTTTTCCGCGTTGAGGTAACAGCTTTGATTTGGTTATTTTCATAAACATTTCCATATTCAGAAAACAACCTCTCCAAAATTGCAGAAGATGCTGTTGGTGCTAATAATTTAAGGGCTAGTTCTTCTAGCAGTATATGATAAAAAACCACTTAGTATTACTAATACTAATTGCAAAGCTCGAATTAAGTGATCGCAAATTGCCATATCTGGAATCATTCCTGTCATCAAATTCTCAGTATTTTAAAAACCATGAACACTGCAAGATCTTTTAAGATCTTTATAAAATTTGTAGTTTTATTTTTAAACTACAAATTAGTCATTGCAAAAAATAATGACAAAATAAAAAAACAACCATAAATTTACTTCTGCAAAAATAAACTTAAATATTATTGTTTCAAAAAATTTGAGAGGTATTTTAAAAATCGATCAATAAATTATTATACTAAAGCTATTTGTGCATTGTATAAAACATTAAAATCGATTTTTGTTTAGCGGGAAACTTTAAGGAATTGTTTATTTAAATAACTGTTTATTTAAATAACTGAATTGTTTATAGAAATAATTGGTGGGAAAATAGATAAGTATAGTAATGGTCGGTTTGGTAAAGACCCATAAATGGGTCTTTACCAAACTGACCATTTCTATACTTACCTATTCCACACTGATTATTTCTATACCTATCTCTTATTTACTTATTTTTTAGTAAAGTATTTTTTAATGAAGTAATTCATTCTGAATTACTTTATTATTATTATTATTATTATTATTATTATTATTTTTAATTTTTCCAATCTTGCTTTATATATTAATAGCCACAAAAAATTTATATATCAAAAAAGACTTCTAAAATATACATAAAATGTACAAGATTGTACCTCCCGCAAACTTATGCTTAAGACATTTACAGACGTAAGTGTGTACATAATACTAAACAAAATTTTTTTTTTAATTGCTCACCTTCCCCAAGGCCAAGAAGAACACTACAATCAAGGAGGCTGCTTTTGTGGTTACAATCCTGTCTCAACTCCGAAACATAAACCTCAATGAACAAGGCTGCTGCACGGAGAAACAAGTTGAGCACAGTACTACCAGGGACATGGTAGAGATCAGACTCGGAACTTCTCACTAATGAGGCAAGTGCTCTACCACTACATCACTACCGCATTAAAATGGGGAACTAAGAAAATGACATAATTTTAGCAAACAGAAATTATCAAGAAAGAAGAGAGTCATGGCAAATCTAAAACCAAAGTTTCATATTTTCCACTTGGATGAGACAATGCTTCCTATTTTTTCAATCTTGTTTATTTTTTTTAATAAAATAACATAAATACAAAAATTCAAAACAAAACACTTTAAGCAAAAAAAGACATGTAATCATTAGAAAAGATTTCTTATATTACACAAAATCCTGTATAAAACTTTATATAAATGGATTTTTACATTTGCATTTAACATATTTGTTTATATAAATTGTTCATATACTCATAGTAATTAAGGTGCTTTTCAAGAAATTACCATCAGTGGGTTATTAGTCTAAACAATCAAGATATTTCCGTAAAATATCTGTTCTACAAGATAAATGATTAGACTGTTAATAGGAAAAACACCAAAAATCTTATTGCGAACTGCAAACAACCTTTTAAAATTTATTTAAAATGTAACATACCTGTCAAGATTTTGTTATGTAATTTAATATAATATAATTGCAGTATATTAGGGAAACCTAACTTAAGGATTAAATTTTGATTGGAACTTAACTTCCAAACCATTGAAATCTCAAGTTCTTAAATGGTATTTTTAAGTGAAGACTTTGCTTGGTGCTGGAATTTTTTTACTATTACAAAGATACTTAGTGCAACGAATCTTGCAAATCTCATTAAGATCTGTAAGATCTTTCTTATCTTACATATATTAGTAAGAACTTATTTGTATCTTAATAAGTTTTGTCAGAAATATTTCTTTGAATAACTTGTTTTGATTATCTTTATTAAGATCTTGTTAAGAAATAAATGAGAAAAAAAAACTACAAATGTTATAAAGATCTTAAAAGATTTTGCTAAGAAATTATCCATAAAGTCGCTCTGACATCAAACGAAAAAAATTGCATCGACAGTGAAGAAATATGTACTAATATTTACTTCATGCATTATATCGACAGTTTTTTTTTTTTTTTGGAATTAAAAATTGATTTGCAATAGGCTGTTGTTCAGTTAGATTATGCGAGAGAGTGGTGAGTTTAGCTGTACGAGAGCTAGAAAGATGACAAAGATGCAAATACACAAATTAGTTCCACTGGGTGACCAAATTTTTGAATCTGGTTTTTCCTGTGCAGTTGTCAACAATGCGTAAGAGCTTTACTCTTTAGTATTAGTCATAGTCTTGAGTAGTTATTGATAACAGTTAAATAAAAATAAATATAATCAATTTTCTTTCTTAAACTATAGATTCAGGAAGGTGTTGATCTATTCATCATTGTTGGTTACAAACTGTCATAAAACAATATTAATATTGCATAAAATATCTCGGTGCAGAAAATTTAAAGTTTTACCAAATCGATCCAAAAATAAATTATTCTGGTGAAAACG